GGCTCACTCCTCTGAGCTGGGTCCTGGGGGTCCCAGCCCTCTGGTGCCCTCCAAAACACCCTGTAAAGGGAGGGCAGGAGGAGGCAGTTTGCTGTTTCTGGGGTGGAGGGCGGGGGGGGGATGTTCTGCATCCCCCTTCCCAGGAAAAGCCTCTGGTGGCACAGTGGCAGCAGGCACTAGGAGAAACATCTCTTCTTCTCATGCTGGACACTGAGGCTCCAGTAGGTTGGGGGGGATTCCTGATCCCCCCCCATCAATGCATTTCTGCCCTGCACTTGCCCAAGGATGTTGGAGTCCTCCTGCTCGCTGCTGCCCACTGCCACGCACCAGGGAGGGCTGCATAGGTCCACACGTGCCAGGGGAAGGACATCTCCAACCACAAAATGGGAAGGAGATCAGGAATTCCCAATGGGAGTACACGGAGGGGGCAAGCAGAGAGATGCGAGCAGGAGTGGGTGGTAACAGCGAAGGCAGACGGGATCTTAACGTTTCCTTCCAAGAGCCAAGATACAATAATCCAAGGTGATCGCTCCTCTGCCGTATGTCCCTGTTCTTCATCCTTGCTCAGCTTCATTGGCATTTGGGAAACTGGTTGTTGAAGTAACACCAGTAACCACAGGAGCTGCTCCACATCCTAGAAAGAGGCTGAGTTTATTTCCCCTGGGATGAAATCACCGTGGGTGTGATAGCTGAGCGCTGTGCTGTGGGAGTGGAGCTTTATCTAGGTCAGCGTTGGGTCCTCCTTTGCTCACAGCAAAGCTGGCGGGGGGACGTCGCCACTGCTTGCGTCTCCACCGGATGCTTCAAGGAAGGTGACACCAGGTAAAGGATGCAAAGCGGGCGGCTGCCAGGCGGGTGCAAGCCCCTGCCTGCAGCACTGCCTGAAAATCAGCGGAGCGGTGTCTCTCCTCCCTCCCTCAGCCTCCCACTGTGACGCGTGCCTGTAATTTTAGGAGGGGACACTTCCCCACAGCCCACGAGTCCCTGGGGAAGCCCTCACACACCTCCGGCTTCTGCAGCAGCCAGGGGGCAATCACCCCACCCCATCCTGGCTGGGGGAACATGGCACCCAGTGGGGCCAGGACAAGGGCTGGGAGGTCATGATGTCCCCAGGCTGCTCTGCAGAAGGGTCTGTGGGATGGAGAAGGATGAGGAAGGTACCCTCCTAATTGCTCCCAGCCCCAGCTGCCTTGCTCCCCATGGCAGCAGGGTGCTTGGCGAGGGGTCTCTGGCACAGCTGTGAGTCAGGTCTCAGCACCCACTGCCTGCCAGCTCCACCTGAGGACACCACGCTGTGCCGCTCTCACAGCAGCAGCAGAGACTAAAGCTTGAGCTAAAGATGGCAGACCTACAAGGAGGAAGGGTGTAAGGAGAGCGCCCAAGGCTACAGCTGTGGGCTCAGGTGATGAAGAGGTTGTACTCCATCACATACTGAGGTGGTGTCATATAGAGATGGGAAGCTCCTGGCATCTGCTCGTGGTCCAGAGCACTTAAAGTTCTTCTTCTCATGGAAGATAGAAACAGCAGGCTGGGTACGGCAGCCAGGCCAGCAGCATCCTGAGGATGCCCAGCACATTGCGTTTGCGGTGGGGGAGGACAGAGACCAGACAATCCAGCTCAAAGAGACAAGGAATTTGCCCAGACCAGCAATTTTCCACTTTGTGACTGCATCGTGCAAACCAAACACCAGCACACACGCCTTGCTCACAGAGATCGCAGGCACCCAGCACCAGCACTCTTGGTGCAATAGCGCGTGGGGACAGAGCAGGTTTCTCCACTTGCTTCTCAAAGGGCAACTCCAAGCGAGAGTCCCTCCAGCCTGAGCAGGGCTGAACTTGGGCTAATGTGGTCTGGACATCAGCACAGCCAGCTTGGGGTTAATTTTATGGATAGGGGAATGCACAGAAGGAAACATCTGAGATATGGCATGCATGGCTCCCTAAATAAGGCAGCCTCTCCCGAGTATTTATGGAGCAGCCAGGGGAGCCAACCACTGCAGAAACAAACCTCTTCACTTTGCACTGTGAAGGAAATTCAACTCCTGCATCTGCAAGTTAACTTGAGCTGAGTTTGCTCCAGGAGCATCCAGCTCTGCCCAACAAACACGGCTGCCCCTTGACCCCAGTACACCCAGTCACAGCCCGAGCTGGGATGCAGAGTCATCCCAAAGCTCTCCTGACTTGCTGGCACACTAACAAGCTCACGTTTCCCTCCCTCAGGTCTGGCCCATTGAGCTTATTTCTATTAAATGCATTTGAGAACATAAATCTCTCTTCAGGAAAAAAAAATCAGCTCATTAGGAAGACAGACAGCATCTACAGTCAGAAAGGCACAGCAAATGGCAGCTGCCAAAAATGTCAATGTTAAATGCAGCTGACAGTTGGGGTTTATTAAAAGCTAGTTATACAGCAGCAGTGGCAAACGGCACATCTTGTACTGGGGAAATCTCCCCTTCCTCTCCACCTTTGCCCAGCTTGCTGGCTCTGATGCATCCAGCCCCTCTGTGACCTCCAGGACTGGCAGCCTGGATGTGTTGGGTTTTGCTCACTGCCCGAGTATTTCATTTATTTGGTTCTTCACCTAGGAAAGCCAGAACCAAGGAAAACAGCTAAAGCATTGCTCAGCGAGGGTGAGGTACCACCTTTCTCCGCATGACCCTGCTCTCTGTCCACGGGGAGAGGCACCAAGCGCTGTCCCAGACCATAGCCAAGCCACAGCAGACTCAGCTACAAGAACAAGCAGGGACCAGACTCATGCCAGCAAACCGGGTTTTTCTGTATTGGCTCAAGAAGCAAGGCACATTCAGCAGGGACTGCAGCACCCATGTCCTACACCCAGCACGGAGGTTGAGCATCTCCAAAACCAAGGGCAAACTGGCCTCCGTGCTACTCTCTGCAGACTTCTTTGCTTGTGTCTCTCATGACCTACCTGGTCCTTCCTCATCAGCGCAGGACAAGGACTTGGCCCCATGTGCCATGACCCAGTGCCACCTCCCCCTACCTAGCAGGATTTCCCACCCATACCCACCTCTTTAAGACTGATGTTTGCCATGTAGACCACATTCGTCCCATCCCTCTTGAAGTGCGAGTGAGGCTTGTCCTTGAGGATGAAGACTATGTCGGCCGGGATGTTGTCTGGGGTGGCATCCCCTTCTTTGGGGAATGTGATTTTGGTTCCCTCCTTCCAACCCCGTTTGATGACAATGTTTAGGATCTTGTCCTCAGTCCGCATGGTCCGGCCATCAGCACTGAGCCTTCTGCGGGTGATCCTCATCCTCTTGGTGGAGCCGTGGTAGATCTCTTCAAGGGACACCTTGAGCTCATGGATGATGGGTGGGTCTTGGATCTTCCTCCGTGTGTGCAGGGACTCTTGGTGCCGCCGATGAACCCCGTTAAAGCCGTTGAAGCCAAACCGGCCAAAGGCACTGAAAGGGTCTTCATCATCATCAATATCCAGGTCCTCCTGGTCAAATCCATTGAACATTCGGTAGCGGCTGCTAGCGAAGAAGATGTCAAAAGGGTTGGAGCCTCCAAAGAAGGATGCAAAGGTAGCGTGGGGGTCTCCGTGGAAGGTGTAGTGGAAAGTGTGCCCTGAGCCACCTGAAGAGCCACCTCCAGTTTTGAGACCTGGAAGAGAAGGGGGAAGATGAGACATGAACACTCCCTGCCGGTAGGCACTATGCTGGGACCGTTGGTCTCTGCTGGCTCCAGGCAGCCTTTCCAGCATCCCCTGGGGGTGCAGGTCACCCCCTCTAGCCCAGTCACCTGTGGAGAGTGTGGGCAAGGAAGGCATCACCTCAACCCATGACACACAGTCCTGCCCGTATGCCCAGCAAGCTCAAAATCTGTTCAGGTTTTGTCCTTGCTATCCCTACTGAAGTGTTTCTTTGGCTCTCTCCACCCAGTTCACAGCCTTTTCATTTAAAACATTTCCTGACCAGCCCATCTCCATTTTTCCCCATGGGCAGGCTGCCTTCTGCCCAAGTAGTGCTGTTTCTTGGGCTGCACCAACAGCCACAGTTCAGGAGCATCATGTCCTGCAGGTGAGAACAGGCTTTGGGCTCAGCAGGTGACTGTGACTCTGAGTGGCAGAGCAGGTGGAGTTTCACAGACCTCCAGGTGGGCATGCAGCTCCCTGCATACAGACTGTACAAAAGGCCAGGTAAGCTCAAGATTTGGATCCTTTGGCAACCATTCCCCTGGGAAACTTCCCTTCCAGACCCCGGGCTGAGCCTCACCTCACTGCAACCCCTCCAAAGTCCCAAGCAGCCAAGGCACATGACAAGTGCCCCCGCAGAGAGGTCACACATGCTCTGCAAGGCTATTTTTGACCAGGAGGGGCTGGGAAGGGTTAAGCCAAGCCTAGCTCAGGGACTATTTTCAGGGCAGACCAGTGACAGTGAAGGGCTATTCCTGACAGGCTGTCCCTAATGCCAGCCCCCCACCCGCCCCAGTGAGAGCTCAGAGGAGACAAACACAGAGCGGACAACTTTGGGGACCTTTTCTTGGTGAAGTTAATATTCCGGGTGGGTTGAGGGGCTTTTGCTTCACCTTGCCCACTGCAGCATGTGGAACCCAGAAACCCCTTGAGATGGCGATCCCTGAGACACGTTGCTCAAAAAAAAAAAAAAAAAAAAAAAGGCACTTGACAGTGGGGGCCATGGACCATGTCTGGTCCGATGCTGATGGAGCAAGGAGGGGGCTGCTCTTCCCTCCCTCCTTGACTCACTCTTATTTTACCTGCCACCAGTGATGGGAATTTGGAGCCATAGGGGTTTCTCTGAATCCCTGGCGAGCCCCAGTCCCTAACAGACTGCACAGCCAGG